ACGTTATTGGAAAACATCCTAGTTAACGTTGATATATTTGAATATCTAATAGTATAATGACATAATTTTTATTTGAGACTAATATATTATACAGCAATTCCATGAGTATGTTGTTTCACGGTCAACCACGGTGAATGTGGATCCCTTCGCTATGTTACCCGTGCATTTCTTGCAAAAATTAATAGTGATTTGATATGCGCATAAGAAAAACACCAACGATAATGTGCACCGACAAATAAGTCTTATGATAAACTAATCGCTGAACTATATTTACAGTAGCGCATAAGCATTACATGCGTAATTATTCGGATTGCGATTCCGCCGCAAAGAAACGTTCATAAATTATGCATTTTATTTTTTTTTGTTGCAAATGCTCGCTCGGTAGATTTATTGTAATGTTAATTGGCAAAACTAATAAGCAGATTACGTTCTCCTTGCAATTTTGATAGGCGGTTAACACGATGTAACTTCTTCTGCGAAGTGAATGTCACAGAAACAACTTGCTGTCACGTTTTGCAATCGTTAATAATGAGTTTCGTAAATATAGAACACAATTTCAATTTTATGCATGTGCGTTTCTGTACAATCTTTCGCTTCAAATTTAACTCCTTCAGATCTAGCACTCATTGTAATGTAAAATCAAATCAAATATTACGTTTGAAGATATTATCCATTGAAATTATTTAATTCTATTGACATCTAAGATTTGATGTACATAATAATATGTTGTATATGTTGAAAAAATAATCAAAATTAAAAAAAAATTTTTTTTAACATAATTCCAATAAAATCAGGTCTAAAAGAATTAAAATCAAAGATACGAAGATCAAAAAACTATTTTTTTTTGTATTTTTTTTACATTTATTATATTAATACGCGAATAAATGTTTTATTACATCTTTTTCAATTCGCAATGATAAATTAAAAAACTATGATTATTGTGATCTTTACTTAAATATCATATGTTTATTTTTTGTGATATTATTTAGATTAATATTTATCTGATATATTATTAATTATATTCTTTGGTAAATTTAAAAGATTAATAAAAGTAATAAAAGTAGAAAATTATAAAAGTAATTGTGCTAATATTGAAGAGACTTCTAACAAAATTAATACGTTTTATTAAAAATGATTATTTAAAGCTTCACCTGGCTTAATTAAAAAAATATCTCTTTGCTGTAAAAGAATTTGAAAGTATTTCTTATTCAAGTTGGACTACGTGAGTTTTTAATTTAAATTAAATTATTCGCTTAAGATTTTAATGAAGCTTGTGAGCATGAATGAGAGAACAGGAAGTTTTCATTGAAAGAGAGAAGGATATTCTAAAAATTGAATGAGCATCTGCTCGTATCTGAAGACTCACAAATCAAGATGAACGTTATGTTTAGCGTGCGTAAGTTCGTTGCCAGTAAGAATTAAAGGTTGTTGACTCAAGCCGGATAGGTAATCACACAAGATAAGCAAGGCGGATTAACTGATGCAAGGCGCGGCTCCACGTCGTGGCTTCCTCGCCAGCTCTCGTTCTCATCTCGATCGACCGCTTTTACTGCAAATTACTTCCTCGATGCGATGTAAGATCTACGTACGCACATCGAGCGTAACCAACGCGCTCATTAGGAAAAACGAGTGGAAAAAGCGGTCGGTCAACCGATGCACGCGATGTGCATGGCGAACATGGGCAATTCGATCCACGCAGCAACGCCTGCAAAACGCTCAGAAAGCACTTATTTCACTCGTATAAGCGCTTTCTGAACACTTTACAAGCGGGGTGCTGTACGCACCCCATGCGCCACGATGCAGTAATTATTGTGCCACACATTCTTTCTTAAGAAAGTGGCACATTAATTTATTTTACGTCCATCGGCCAATCTTTACCAACGTCCGAGCTGGTTCGGACGGCTTTCCAATCTCGGTCGCATACTCTCGATCGACTGGATTTTTAACACTGCAATGTACAAACAAGCCACCAATCATCCAATTAGCCCATTTGCAAGTATAAATACGTTAATTATTATATATAATCCGTCTCGTTAAATCGACAAAAGTGCTTAATAATAATAGAAGTCATTAAGTTGGGGAGATAATTCCATCTGCAGGAGAAATGGTACAAGTGAATCAACTAGTACATGTTCGCAAGATAGTTATATGAGATATAATACTTTTATCAATAAAGGCGAGTTATAATAAACTATTTTGATGCACTATCGATAGTGTCTTAAGAACCTGATCGCACCGATTGGTCTCATACCTTTCATCCTATCAAACAGTTAAAAGGCGATGAGGTGGATTTGCACGAATCATTGCATTGCTCGAGCCTTTTGCTTCAAAAGGAAAGTTAATTGTCTGTAAACGATCTTTCAGCGAGTTTCTACCCGCAAGTCTAATGAATATTTAACGTAATTATTTGTACATATGAGCGGGTTATTATCTCTGACATAATACAGTGTACCATGTACAGTGAGAGCAAAAAGTATTCGTACAAGGAAATTTGTTATATAAAAAGTCTTATTTGTTGTTAATTATGCAATTTTATGCAATGAATACATTCTGTTTTAACATAAACAAATGAGCTTCGCATGTATTCCTGATTTTAGAAGTTAAATTTCTCGTCTGTACGAATACTTTTTGAGCATTCAAACAATACAATTTTTAATTTTCACTTTTTTCAGATGATATATTTTGTATAATTAACACGTATCTTTTTGGTATATATAATTTTAAGAAACATACAGTTTATTTTATTCTTTATGAATAAATTGTTAATTATCCAATAAGAAATGATCGTCAATTAAACATTGAATCAACGTCAAATTGATGTTGAAATCATCGTATTTATATGGATTCGACATCAATTCGATGACTTATTTTTCGCTGTATAATATTTACTTTTTAAAAATAAAGTTTTTTTTTAAAAATATTTTCTCTGTACTTTTTGCACTCACTGTATGTATAGTATATTATAATAATAACATTGCAATACTGGCGAGTTACGTAAAAAAAAAAGAATGCTATGAGTTTTTAGAATGTGAAGGTATTAATTAGCCGATGTAAAAAATTAATTTATTAGGTGCAATAAAAAAATACTCATCATTAGCGAGAGAGAAACATTTTTTATCTTTGATTGCTTAAATATTATATTTTTAAATATTCTTTATTTGAGAAGTTAAGTATGCGTAAATCTCCTCTGTTTTGGAACTTTAAAAAAAAATTTAAAGTGTGAAAAATTTGAATTCTATTTCTATTAGACTGGTTACTAGATTTTCCTTGTAATTAATATTTAATTTATAGTCAAATCATATTTGAGATCAGGAACAGTAAAATTCGTTCGTATAATTGTCTCTCTCTCTCTCTCTCTCTCTCTCTCTCTCTCTCTCTCTCTCTCTCTCTCTATCTATCTATCTATCTATCTATCTATCTCTCTTTCTCTCTTTTATGTTTTTACTAGAAATGACTTAGCATTATACAGACACACTATATATATAAAAAGGTAATATATTATATCAGAAATCAAATTAGAATTCTTTCAACAGCAAGAGGGAGTTCAATTTAATTTCGGACCAATCACGAGAATAGAAGCTTATCGAAACAGATTATTATAAACCGACATATGTATGTGTCCTTTTTTCTCTTGTATCTTTTCTTATTTACGTGATGTCGTATAACTGCCAGATATTTCTTGACGTGTTTGTCAGTTATGTGTAAACAAACATTTTTGCGGCTTTATTATCGTCACGGTCATCTCCTGATTGTTATTTTAAAATTCTCTCACGATGTGTTAGGCTTCACAGAACAATTAATGGCTATGCCTATCGAAATTTTTTAAATATTAATTCGGCGCATTATCTTTCGAGAATTACATCCTGTGAAGATAATACGGCTGTAAAAATTATAACGAATTTTGTTCCAGAAACCGGATAAAATTATCTATATTTCTCTTTCTCTCTCTAAATTTATCTGAGCTATTCATGAATAAGGAAATAAAATAAAATTCTCATATATGAGCATATAAAAAATTTATTTGTTTCTTTTGTAAATCTAATTTTTAAGATTTCTCGTAATTTGTATCTGATTATTGTATTTATCATTTTCTTAATTTAAATTAAGAAAGATATTATTAATAATTAAATAATCAAAATTTTTTCCAAAACTAAGTTTATGAGATTATGGCAAATATGTAAACTATTTTTTTTTAATGACGCGTTTTTATGTATATATTATATATTATGATATATTAAATATTATATTCAATATATTATAATAATTTATAAATTATATATTACATACATAATAATTTATCATATTTATTATATGTTTTTAATATAAAATAAAACATAAATTAATTCTATACAATTAAACGGCGTCTACAATGAGATTTCAATACGTAAAGGTTTAAACCGAAAGCCGTAAGAAATTGACCAATTATAGTCAATTTTATTATTCTTCTCACATTCGGCAGTGATTGGTTAATTTCTTACGGCTTAAGGCTTAAGCCTTAGTTTAATGCCTTAAAATTTCACTGTAAACGTCGCGCGCCGCTTTATGAACGCAATCCGTGAGGATCAATGCCCGTTTCTACCAATGTAGTTTAATTTTAATCTTGGCTCAACAAATTCTTCATTTTTTTCTAGTTCTAAGAATTAGAGAAAGATGAAAATTAAGTTGAACCAAGATTAACGTTAATCTACATTGATAGAAATGGATATTAGAGACAGTTGGCGAGCCGTAAGAAACGTCTCACGTTCGCGCCAGCGTTGGCTAATTACGGTTGGCGAGCGGAGCTAACAATTTTCCTCGTCGCCGGTCGTCGCGCCTGGTCGTCGTCGAACTTCGCTAGGCTATCAGACAACAGCCCAACAGGCATGACATCGCGAATGTAGACGATCAACACCGCGACGCGACGGCGGCGGAAGCCCTCTCGGGAGATTTCGGGCAGACGGCCAGGGGCGACGACGGTGAGCCGGGACCGACCGAGGCGACGAGATTCTCGCAGTGCCGAACCCCGTCGTTCGCCTCGCATTGTCTCACGTCGTTCGTATCTTCCGCATCTCAGACGCCGAAATAATAAGTATCTCGCATCTAACGTTCACGTTAATCATCGCTGCAGCGCCGTATCGTATCTAACTTCGCATCGTCGCGGAGTACAGCGTGAAGGTGTCTGCGCTCGCGCGCGTGTTTGTGCCGTCGCGCCGTTTCTTCGTGTGTCACGCGTGCGATACTCCCTATAGTCCTTGTGCGACGATCTGCCGTTTTACCAGAAGAACACATTACAATTAATCAAATTAACGTTCTCTCCCATCAGTTTGCGCGCTCGCGAAACGACCCACGTGATCGACCCGCGCCGTCGCCGCCACCGCTGAAAATCGGGCGCCTCCTCGTTGCGGCGTGCGCGACCGAATTCGGAAGTCCGCTCGCCTTCTCGCGCGACGCGATTATCACCGTCGCCTTCTACGGATCTCTCAATTCACCGCGCCGGCAAATCGATCCGGGTTGATCGGAGCGCAAGCCGGAGAATCTTGTTTCCATTGTTGGAATTCTCGCCTTTGTCTCGTCATCATCATTCGAGGAAAAAGAGTTCGACGGAAACGAATCATCCTGGAAGCGACTATGGAGAACGGAGTTCGCAACGACCTAACGGAAGCCGGGCAGGCTGAGGTCACCGCGGGAGATGAAACGAAAATCTTCAGGAAGAGACCATACGCCAGAACAGTCGATCTCTCGCTAGTACCGCTGATGCAGGTAAGCTGTGTATTATGTAATGCTCGAGCGGGTCGTTGGCGCGACTTGACGCGTATGTGACTATGTGCGAGCGAACCTCGCCTCTCGGCCCATTTGCGGCGCGCCAGCCGACGGATGGGAGAGGGAGTGGAACTGAGAAGGGGTGAACTCGGCAACGGCAGACTGGAGTCGTTCAACCCTCTCGCGGGCCGAAGACTGCGGTGGAGGTCGACACCCCGCGGCGCCGGCGAACGATCGATCCACGATCGATTCCTCATGCCCCGGAACGATGATTCGTGTGCTCCGACACGAACTACGAAGCGCTAATCTGAAAGCCGCGAACCGCGAAACGAAACGTCAACGTGCGCACGTACTCTGTTTACCTCGTCTCTGTCCTTCGCGTGTCTGTCGCGTCCTACATCGACTTTAGTACAAATATTATTATACTGACGCAGACGTGCGGGCACTCATAATACATTGACGGATGTCTAAGGCCCGGTTCCGCTAATGTAAAATTAACTTAATCCCGGTTCAATTTATTCTTTATCTTTTTTTAATTCTTAGAATTAAGGTAAGTTAAACAGTAAGTTAAACTGAGATTAAAGATAATCTTATTTTGAAATTGGGTCTAAAGCTAATGGTATTCATAAAGGCGGTATTCATAGTCGATCCTTATTTCAAGATTATCAGTAATGTCTTAAGATGTTACAGTTCTCTGATTTTAATTCTTAGAATTAAACAGTAAGTTGAACTGAGGTTAAAGATAATCTTATTTTGGTGTAATCGGGTTCTAAGGCTGGTATTCATAATGGCGGTATTCATATAGTCGGATCTTATTTCAAAATCATCTTAAGTAATGTCTTAAGATGTTACAGTTCTCTGATTGACTTATGATATCTTAAGACAATCTCAAATATAAAAATCGATTATGAATATTGATCTAATTGATCCGATTTTTTAATGCGATTGTAATTCTCCTTAACAAAATAATAGGCTGACGAATAGCATACTTTGACAGATTCTACGTAATTTGTAATGGCAATTAATTTTTTTCTCGTCTCAATTATTTAAATTGGGACTGTTATCTCACACAAGTGAATTAATATAATCGAAAAAAGATCTAACAATTTCTTCCGAATGTTTCTGAATATTTTTTTATTTTTTTATATTAACAATATAAGTAATAGAAAGAGTATATAAGAGTCGACTATAAAGTTCGCTCAAATAACAAGTTAAAAAAGATAAAATATGTATATAAAGCGACTGTAATTTAATTAAATTAGAACAATAATCATAACATAACATGTTTTGGCCGCTAGTTTGAGTCATCTTCAGATGTCATAAGAGAGCATAAGTATTGTACATCGAATACCTATAATGATAAAGAGATAGAAAAAATATACATGTATTGTGTGATGCCCGATGAGCTTCACAGAGTATACGAAATTGCTCGCAAACGATCGAAAGATTGATTGTTGATAAATTCGATAATCTGATAAGAATGCAAACATGATGAATATAATTAATCTGTAATATAATACAAAATAGAAGCAAAATCGTTACTTCAATAAAAAAAAATCTATTTTTATATCTTAACTTTTTTAATTTGTTATTTATGTGAAGTTTATAACCGACTCTTACATGTCCTTTCTGTTTATTCTATTTATATTGTTAATTTGACATCAAGAGTCCTTGTATTGATTAATTTATTTTTAATTTTTTATAATCTGCACTATTAAACGAGAATAAAAGCTTCTTTTATTTATGTCTGGAATGATTCTCAAATTAATTCAAAGTATATACAGTGATCCTCTTAATTATTGATATATTAGCGCTTGTATACAAGATGACTAAACTGAGTCAAAAAATCTTCTACTAACTAACTTCTACTTTGTAATTTTTTTTCGCCATTTTTTTTTTTTTTTTAATTACTCAACGAGCAGAGTGTTGACGCATAAGACAATAATTTAAGATATCTTTAATAAAAGTTCTTGAAAAAACATCTTTAAGATATTTCCTAAAAAATTATGAAAGGTATCTTAAAGTTGTTTATACGTTTATTTCATTTGTTTATTTTACCGGCAATCTTTAGAAATATAATATTTCATTATATATAACTTGCGAGAATTATAAAATGGAGAACTCTTCGATTCAGTTTCTCGGTTTAGTTCGCATACGAGCGCTGTGTCAATAATTAGGGGACATCCTGTATATTGCAACTCCAATTTGAATCAGAAAAAAAATCTATTATAAGAAAAAACGAATGAATGATCTGTGTAGAAAAGATAGTGTAGAAAAACAAAATTTGGATGCAAATCGTAAATTAGAAACACGAAATATTTAGTATCTTTTTATTTAAATATTGCACATATAATGAATATGCAGAGCCAGTTTAATAACAAGAAATATTTTAATTTTATTTTTATTATCCTATTTAATACTTTTTTTTATGAAAATTATTATGATAAATTGAACATTGAATTTCTCTCTCAAAAATCATGATATATAATTATAAAATAAAATAATATAGTGATATTTAAAATGAATGTAGATATATTTAAAAATGAATAATTCAGAATAATTATATTGTTATAATATCTTTTATTGCATCTTAATTTACTTTGTAAAAACTTCGTCCCATTGTTTAAAATTGAATTGTTTTTTTAAAAGAATTTTTGAAAGGAAAGAATTAAATAAAACTTTTTTAAGAGCTTAATATAATATATGATAATTTTCAGGATTTATAATATATAACCTTTTATTTATCAGTTAATTTTAAACGATCTTCAACATGTTAGATTAAAACTATCAATAGATTAGAATGAAAATTGCGAAAATTAATTTAAATATTGTAAAATAATCTTCCTTCGATATTATCACGTAAAAGAAGATCCACTTTAAAATTAAAGAATTTGCAGATTACGGAGATGGTATTTTCTGTGTATACATTTGCGTTGCTGTGTGATTTATTATGTATAATCACACACATGATATGTTAATCAATCTTTTTATAAATGAATCATCTTGCGCTACTTCCGAGATTGCAGCCTTCGAGGATGAACACTTTTTTTGCCATATTATCAAATCGAAATATGTATCACATAGAAGCGAATTTGTGTATGTGAACGATAACAGCGATTAGATAAGTGAAATCGAAGAATCTATCTAGAAATTGCGCGGACTTGAGCAATCTCGAGATCACCTTTCTAATTTCTTTGGTCAAGTTAATTGCTCGATTGCGAATCGAAACTGATCTAATTTAGTAGAATTGTTCATATTTATACATTTTATTCCCATGGTTAAATTTAACACTACAGATTTATATCAGAGTCCGGCGAGATGAGAAACTTTTGATTATCATTTTTATCAACTTCAGTAAATTATACTGTTAAATTCATAATGTTAAATTATATTTAATTTGAATTATTTTTAATCCATAGATCGTCACTGTTCTTACTAAATATATCGTTAAAACTAAAACGATAATTAAATTTGTCGTTAATTTGATTAAAACAATGAAGTCAAACAATTTAACTCAAGAAAAATGTATTAAATTTGACTCAAATTTGTTTACTTACTAATGTATACGATTTATTTACTAAATACATACGTTAATATGAACGATGTTTACTTTGAAATTAACCACAGAAATGGATTAGTTTACATTTTGACATAGATGGAAGTTAAAAATAATAAAATGTTATTTAACTTATTGAGATTGGATTATATATCATTGCTTCTTTGAAATCTAACATTGTATAATGAAGATAGTATAAATTAGAATAAGATATATAAAGATATATCAAAAGAATAAAAGTACAAGGGATATAAGGATTGTCACAGATCTGGAAAACTGGAAAAAGTCAAATAAATTGAAATTAGTCATAGAAAACCGAGAAAAGTTAGGGGAAAATATAAAAGACTGGAATTTTTAACTTTGTTTATAATTCCATTAACTGCTCTTATTCCAAATAATTTTTATAATTTTTTAAATATCATATCTGATGTTTATTACAGTCAAATACGTTCAAAACTCGTGCATTTTAAACGATTTTTGAAAAATAATAAAAATTTATATTTTATTCAATAATTGTATTTGATCGCTTTTTTTTGTCATAACTTCACATTCTTTTTCCCAATACTAATTTTTTATTTTTTATCAACTTAAATTTGCCTCTAAAATCTTATTATGCTACTAAACTTCTTTTATGTTTTGAATAATATAAGTTAGCTTTCTTACAATTCTTGATTCTAAATGTAAAAATTTTTTAAATATTTTATTATGTTAAAATTTTTGCATATTTTATATTGGTCATGGAAATTTTCCATTTTTATCTGAAAAACCTGGAAAAGTCAGGGAATTTTAAAATTCATTTTCTGTGACAACTCTTAATATAAAAATATATATATATATATATATATATATACCTTTCTTTCTCACTCTTGTTTTGACAAAATTGTTCGTGACCGGACTCTGTTATAGGCTAATATTCGTGATCGCTTCTTATTTTAAGACTGTCTTAAGTAATAAAAGTAAAGTATCTTAAGATGTTAATGCTATCTGATTAGTTCATAACATCCTAAGATTGCACTTAAGATAGTCTTAAAAATGGGAATCGTCTATGAATATTGGCCATAAGGTCTCTATATATGTAGTAATCCATTATCGGATTTTTCATAAAACATTTGATGACGGAGATACTACAGCACTTCCGTGAAACATTTTGACGAGATTTACTTTGTTTGTGACGAAATACCGTAAAATATCGCAGAATGATTCGTTTTCGCGATATTTGCTTGATCGTAGGCGTTGATAAAGAGCGTTCTCATTTAAACGCTGTTTTTCCGCTTAAGTGCGTGCGCCGCGTGTACTGAACGCAACTGCACTCCGATTCGATCACGTCGCCGCGGCGAGAAGGGAAGCGAATGGAAAGGGCAGAATTTATAAGGAACGACAATTATTAAATTAGCATAACGGGTGTTTGCGATCGGCAACGATCGACGGTGGAGTTGGCTAATCA